ATGCTATCATTATTATCTGATGGCAACCAAATAGATACTGCCACAGGCCATCTTTTTTAATATAAAGCTCTGTGGTTTGTTTTTCTTCCCCAAACATTCTATCCTACAGAAACAGCCTTGGGGCACCATTTGGTTTGTTTCCTGTTGACGGGGGTAATTTTTATTTCAAATCTGAACTGTATTCTGGTTTCATCTGAGCTACTGGCTCACTGATCCCAAAATACATCATTATCCTTTTTGTGCTTCAGTTTTATACCCTTCAAATTGGGCTTAAATATGCTGGCCTTTTATCAATCTCCTTTTATGAAAGTTGTTAGAAAGACAATGAGAACACTAGTATAAGATACATTTTGCTTATAAATGAAGTCTGATCATTCTCAAGTCAATTTTCTTGGTCAATATAACAAATAATCATAAAAATTAAAATAACCACAAGCCATGTCTGCACTGAGCATTTTTAGTAGCATGGAAATTATAGTGACTATTAGTCCATGGACATTTAATCCCATTACCTGGCTGGAGTCTAAATACGTGGCCAGGCGTCTTCTCCTGGCTGGACTACTTCAAGTCCTAAGTGGTTTATGTCTTTCAGTCTTGTAGTCCTCCTCCAGGCCGCTACTTTTTAAAAATACCAATATGGTTATGCTATTGTCATGCAGAAAACCCTTTCAATCATTCTTTTTCACTTGAAGAATGAGGTGAAGTGCAAAGCCCACCGATGCCATTCAAGGTTTATCAGGATATAGGCCCTGCTTTGCTCTTCAGCCTTATCTCTCACTGGACACCCCTGCCTCCAAACCATTCTCTACCATTGTTGAGTAAACACTGTGCTTTCCATATTTTCTTTTTTCATAATTGAGATTTTATTGTTTGTTTTGAGGATCAGTACACAAACATTTCAATTTGTACACAATTCTGAACATGTGTACCAAAATTGTAGTCACCTGAGCTATTCATTTCTAAACAGTTACTCCAGTGACTTTCCAGCTTAAAATTTTTGAGGCTACTTTTCCTAAATAGAGTATCAAGTACCAATATCTTTAAATGTTGATACACTTACATCAAAGCCCCACTAATTTACAATTTAATATCATATATACTACATTATCAAATTTTCAATCTTTTGCAGCACATTAACAAAGTTACTAGGAAAATGACTACCACATCAAAGATGCACAAAATTCTGGAAGGGAGAACCAAGATCAAGAAGTGTTTTGTTTGTTTTTAAGGAAAGAATTCTACCCAAAACATGTGAATAGAAATAATTTAAAAATGTTCAAGATATAGCAGATGCACGACTGACTCTAAATTGCCATTTAGTATGCTTTGTAGTATAGGATATAGAACTGCCCCATCTATGGAAAGTTAAGCTGACACCCAAGACAAAGCCTCCCATGTTCAATTGAAGCATCCATCTTATATAAAAACTGCTGTTTGAAATTTTAAGCCTGCTATTTTGGCTTCTGTAAATGCTTGCTTGCTTAAATAATAAGGAAATAAGACTACTCCCAATCTTCCCCAGACGAAATTATCAGTGCTGGCGCCAGGCCAAGCCTTTGTTTGAGCTCTCAAAGCCCCAGCACATAGGGCTCTTCAAGAACTTGCAAAGGGAACCGGAAAAACCCCATATTTGGGAGACAAAGAGGGTAAAAAGGTATAAATACAGGAAACTTCCTGTGTGACTTCGCCCAGAATTCTAGAGACATTTTTCTCTGGGCCCGCATGTAATAATAATAATAAATGTAACTCCATCTCTCTAAGCGTTGCTTGGTTCTTCTTCGGTCTTCTGTAACACAATATCCCACTATTTTCTGGTTGTAGCAAAAAATAAACAACCAGCAAATGATTTCACCTCTTAAAATAAAAAAGCATTTACACTTAAAAAAATAGGATGAGGTGGAATTCCCTCCTTAAAAATGTTTCTAAGGCTACTAAAATATTTGCATTTGTAAAATAATTGATTAAAATATTGTTCTGGATTGATAAGAAGGGAGATGGGGACCACTGATAAGACATGGTCTATGACATTAATCAGACTTGGCTTCTCCTGCTTCATCTGAGGCGGGACTCTCCTCGTATTTAGTTCCTCCATTTTCCGCAGGTAGCTCTCCTTTTAGGTTCCTAGTCAGTCACTTCGGCCTGCTTTCCCTTTGCAGATTTACCCTTTCCTGCCACCTTTTTTGGGCTATGTTTCCACTTTTGCAGGAGCAGGTTTGGCTGACCACCTCACCAACCTCCTCTTGGGCTCCTCCTTGGCCGACCCTTTGGCAGAGCTGACCTTCCTCTTGGGCATTGTAGCAGTGGGGCGGGCATGTGCTGGGTGCCTGAGGGCTGCAGCGCACCTAGTGACTGCGAGAACCTGGCCTGCCTGGCTGCTCAGACCCCCATATTTTCTTATATTGTTTTCTGTTGATGAAATATGTCTCTGACCATTTCCCGTTCCCTTCTGATAACACAAACTCACTTTTATGTTTTAAAATATATTTTTATTGATTTCAGAGAGGAAGGGAGAGATAGAAACATCATTGATGAGAGGGAATCATTGATTGGCTGCCTCCTGCATGTTGGACTGAGCCCGAAACCCAGGCATGTGCCCCTGACCAGAATCGAACCTGGGACCCTTGAGTCTGCAGGCTGATGCTCTATCCCAGTGAGGGAACAAACTCACGTTTAAATATTCAGCTCAGGCACACCTCCTACAAGTCTCTTCTGACTCCCCTAAGGTAGCATTAAGCACTCTCTCCCTTATTCTTTAATGTTTCCCTATGAAGTCAACATATTTTGTTCACTTATTTATTTGCATGTATGGTTTTTCAGCTAGTCTGTGATATTCTAGAAGGTAGGCACTGTATTTCATTCATCTTGCATCCTAGGATTCAGTTTCAATGCCTAACACAAAGTGAGTGCTTAACAAATCTTTGTTGAATTACACATCTTCCCAAACCCTGTTTTGCTGAAATAATCTATGCCTGGTTTCCTGAGTTTAGTTTTTTTTTTTTGTTAAGATGTTTTTCCTTGTTTGGAATATTCAAGAAGCTATCTAATGTAATAGTTGAGAGCAATGGATTTTGGAGCCAGACCACATAAATTTATATACTGCCTCAATTACTCTTTAATTGTATGAACCTAAATTCTTTGTGCCTTAGTTTCTTATATGTAAAATGTAAATAATATTGATTGGCTGCCTCCTGCATGTTGGACTGAGCCCGAAACCCAGGCATGTGCCCCTGACCAGAATCGAACCTGGGACCCTTGAGTCTGCAGGCTGATGCTCTATCCCAGTGAGGGAACAAACTCACGTTTAAATATTCAGCTCAGGCACACCTCCTACAAGTCTCTTCTGACTCCCCTAAGGTAGCATTAAGCACTCTCTCCCTTATTCTTTAATGTTTCCCTATGAAGTCAACATATTTTGTTCACTTATTTATTTGCATGTATGGTTTTTCAGCTAGTCTGTGATATTCTAGAAGGTAGGCACTGTATTTCATTCATCTTGCATCCTAGGATTCAGTTTCAATGCCTAACACAAAGTGAGTGCTTAACAAATCTTTGTTGAATTACACATCTTCCCAAACCCTGTTTTGCTGAAATAATCTATGCCTGGTTTCCTGAGTTTAGTTTTTTTTTTTTGTTAAGATGTTTTTCCTTGTTTGGAATATTCAAGAAGCTATCTAATGTAATAGTTGAGAGCAATGGATTTTGGAGCCAGACCACATAAATTTATATACTGCCTCAATTACTCTTTAATTGTATGAACCTAAATTCTTTGTGCCTTAGTTTCTTATATGTAAAATGTAAATAATAGTTTCTGTCTTGTAGGTGCTTTTGTGATGGTGAATCTCTATTTTACCTAAAAAATATGCTTAGAATGGAAATTAAAAAATGCTAAGCACTCAGGAATATTAGTTAATGTTACCATTATTTCAGTCGATGTATTTAAACTTGAATTTCCTCTTAGCTGGTCATAAATGATTTTTAGAGAAAATGCAAGTCAAATAATATTTCCAAAATTAGATAAAATAATGTTTGCCCTCAAGACTCCAGGAACAATGAAAATTCAGTTAATATTAGTTCACCTATTTCTGTTTTGAGATGTTTAATCTTCTTTTCTATGTCGACAAGCAGTGTCAGCCCCAGGCTTTGGTTAGTTTTGCAGTCAAACAACTGCATTTGGTCAAGAGTCATCCATCCACCCCTCAAGAAGGTGGCAATAAATGAATTTCATGACTTCTGAAAGTTTGAATAAGTATATCAATTGATATGCATTTCAAATTGAATTGTTGGATTTGATCTAGTTACAAGTGGAGAGGAAAAATTCACTAACCATATGTAATACCCTAATCAATAAAGAAAAAAATTTTAAAAAATTCACTAACCATCAATAGCATCAAAAGAATGACTGAATGGACATTTTTCTTCCTTTCCTTTTCACTTTGGGAGAAAGATTCTAGGGTTAGTGTCTCAACTATATCTATTTGGTTAGTCAAACATATGGCTAATCTATGTATGTGTGGCTAAATCAAAGCCTCACATTTTCTTTACAATTGCCTATTACCACAAAATGGCATCACACAATTGCAAAGCAGTACCTTTATGAAAGCCATCACACATGCACACGTCCACACACAACACATCAGATCAGAAAAAGCTTATTCATATAAAATAAAATGGCTTAGGGATTCAGCAGTGCTGATTTGTCTCAAAAATTTTTCCTTCTTTTGAAAAGAAAGCACAAAATCTTTGAATTCAGAGTCACCTAAAGGCTGAGGTTAACTTGCCAGTAGTGGGTTTGAGAAATGAGAGCTAACATCAGGCGACAGATATTTTCTTCCACAAATAACACCCTATTATGTATTGTTCTCCATCACCCACGTCCAAACGGCTACTCGACCTATGAAACAAATCGCATCATGAGCACAGATAACCCCAGGCTTCAGGTCTGTAATCTGACCGTGGCCATCAACAGCCAGAAATGAGTTTCTTTCTAATCAGCCTTCCATCAGTCCCCAGTCACTCATATAAAGGAGCCCTGGGAGGGGAGGATTCACATTGCTCTTCAGCACCAGGGTTCTGGACAGCGCCCCGAGCGGGCTGCTGTTCTCAAGCTCCTTTCTCAATCTCCACCAGCGCAGCTGCTACCCCTCTAGTCCCCCCTGCTGCAGAGAAAGAAAATTACATCGGGATCCATGCAGCCGGCAATGATGATGTTTTCCAGTAAATACTGGGCAAGGAGAGGGTTTTCCCTGGATTCAGCGGTGCCCGAAGAGCATCAGCTACTTGGCAGCTTAACAGTGAGTACTGAGTATCTGGGACTAGTCTAGAGAGTATTTTCTAGGGTAGCAATGGTCTCATCCTGCCATATTGTCATATGGACACCTGGTGTAGAGTAAGCACACACACCTCAACTCCTTCCTCTGTGTACCCTGCCTCCCTCCTGTCTGCCTCCAGTCTTCCTTCTCTCTCCATAAAGTAAAGCAGGTGTACTGATGGCTACATGCTAAACTTTTCCTCAGAACGTATAAGTAGAAAGCAAAGAAGGTCCTGAATATCGACGAAAGGTTATATAGGCCAATGTCGTACACCCACACCCTCAAAAGTGTGTAGAATTTTGAAAGGCCATTTATTATGAGAAGAAACAGGGAGAAGAAGTGAAATAGATTTTCAGGGTTCCTGAAAGATTACTGCATCTCCTATACCCCATTCCAACTACAGAGTCTGACCTTCAAACACAGAAGTAATCTTTTCTACTTTACTCTATAGGTGTTGGCTATTGGATTAAAAGAAAGATTGAGTTCCTTTCAACAGTTTTCCTGCATTGCTCAGTACTCCATTTTATTCAGTTTAATTGATGGACTATGAAAGCAACACACCAATTGTTTCAATATTTAAGATAGTTTTTATATTTAAAGATTAAGAGAATAAAAAAGTAATATTTTGCAGGATTTTAGATTCTGATTTGAGGTAATAGCCATGGAATTTAATTTAAAAAAAGACACTGAAAGAAAAATGTATTCATATTTCTAGTCATTAAAAATATTAAATGATATTTCATTATTGTACTATTAGACTTTATCAACCAATAAGAATTCAGTCTGTATCATAGAAAAATCTGTTTTAGTATTGTAGCTCCAACTCTGTGCCAGAGGGTTGTATTGTACTGGTGTATTATTACTGCTAAAAATGTTGAAAAGTAATCAGGGCAAGTTTTGTAGAACTATTTAAATCAATATGCAAAAATAAGACCAAAAAACTTAAACATAGATTTTCTAACATTTAAATATCATGAATATTTGGATGAGATATTGCATGGAAGAATTTTAAAGTTATACTGTAATGCTAGAAGGCAAACAAAGAAAACTCAGAGTTATGCTACTTAAATATCCAAGATCTCTGTGTTAGGTGGTGAGGAGGAGGCAGATGGTGAGAGTACTGCGACATTTGAACTTTTAATGACAACATGCTATCAAACTCCAATATCTGCATTAAACATTTTTCTCCCTTAAGTCATAGGTAATAAAGTATTTGTACGGATATAAAAATCTAGTGAGTGAGACAATACTAACATGAGAAAATAAAGCCAGTAGAGAAAACAGAGGAAGACATGGCAAGTCACTATTCATTGGGTTCCATGTCTAAGGTACTTTCCTCAGTTTCATGAGGAACTAATAGATTGGTGAGATTGCATTAAATCCCTTTTTGTCAGGGATAAAGTTCTCTGTTTACCCAATTCCTCATTTGCATGTACAAAAGAGTACACCCTAGGTTTGCTTTGTCAAATTAAAGTTTCCAGCTTTTTTTTATTCTGCATTTCTGACAATGTGACCTGAGTTTCTGGAATCTGCCATTTGTATCTTTAGCCAAAAGGACTAATAGTCATTACTTAGTCATATATATAGTCTCTTGAATGGCTAATAAAGTGTTAGTCTTTTTCAGTTTCTCAGATTTTACTCTTTGTGTCTAATGACTAGGTAGTTCGTTCTCTCTCTCTGTCTCCTCCTCCTCCTCCTCCTCCCCTCTCTCCACACCCTTTTTCTGATTTTTTCCCTTCGTGCTGAACTTCTGTAGATAGATACCCATTGGCCATGTGGACCTAACTGCAGAAAGTGAGGTTATCAATGACAGTGCATGTCTGGACATATTTCAGAATAAAAAGAATACTTTGTTTTTAAGATTTAATTGAACCTAAAATTATTGTGAAAAATATACATTTGGTCTTCTTTGTGTTGTATTTAGTAATAATATAGTTTTCATATGGGTCAACTAGGCTAACATTTCACATTTTATGCTGTAGAGTAAACTTAGAAAGGCAGGTATTATTCATATATGAGATTTTTTTACTTTATGATAGTCAGATGTTTGTTGCTCTTAAAGTGGATCCAATCTGGTCCCCCTTTTAATTGCAACCACTGGATGATGTCTTAGAGCAGTGGAAAATAGTTTCCCAGAGCCAATTAGACCAACATTTAGGATCAAAAGTTATGAACTGACATAGCACCTTCTTGAGTTTATATGATTCCTGGGGCTTCCAGCATATGAATGGAATCTCTGGGAAAAAAAATACAGAGAAAGAGAACTCTGAAATCCTAACTAATATGTGTGCATGTGTGTGTTTCTACCTTCTTAAAGCTAAATAAAGCAAACTCTGGCAAACATGATGATAAGAAAGGCAACAAGGGAAGCAGCAAAAGTGAAACTGCTACTGAAAGTGGCAAGACGGCGGTTGTATTCTCTTTGAAAAATGAAGTTGGTGGATTGGTCAAAGCGCTGAAACTCTTTCAGGTGAATGTAAACTATCACTACATACCTTTAAAAGTGACTGTGTGCCTGGTTACAAATCTGTCGTCTGTTACAAAACATCACTGAGGCATTTCTGGATACTGTGTTGAAAGGTTCAAAGAAAATAAACTTCATAAGGCTCTACAAGGGGAGTTGGTTTGCCAAGCAATGAAATGAGCAGATTCATGGGAACAATGTTTTATGAATTCAGAGTTAGCCTACTAGTAATTCTGCAGACTGTTGCCAGGTGAAGCAGTGATTAAAAAAATGTGAGCCTCACACCTGGAAATACAAACACAAAAAGAGCCAGGATCTCTTTAAATATTAAGAGCCTGCAGCCCAATTTGATTTGACATTTGAATCATGCCCGTGTCTTGGAAGCACATTTACTGCATAAAACGAGATGCCTGAGTATAGGCATTTGGTATTCCCCTAAGCCTCCTTGTTTCATGAACTTGCCATTTGTAAAAGGATGAGTCACTTCCTTATATCTAAGTTCTCTCTTTCGCTTAAGGAAATGCAGTAGCCTTTTTTTTTTCCAGGCCCAAATGGGTGGTTTAAACACTGAAGAAAGAGCCTGGTTGAGAATGAGGTTAGAAAAATCCAGAAAAACTACTGCCTGCTTGCCAGGGCATACCCGATGGTTCCTCTACTCTTCAGAAGGCACCCTCCTTTACAAATGCATTATGGGGGCTGCTGATTAGATAAGATAGGGTGCCGATCTCTGAGGTGCCGGGGGCTCCTAGTGCAGTGAAAAGATGGAATTACAGTCAGAGGATTCAGATCTGTGTTCTCCTGGCTTGGCTAAATCATAGCTGCTTCCTATGTTCAATTTCTTCATTTGTGAAATAGCAATAATTCTTCCTACCTAACAAGGTTGTTGTGATGAAATAATATGAGTGAAAATGCTGGTCAAGTATACAGATATGAGGCATTATTGTAATGTCTCTTTGATGACTGTAGAGGGGGAATTAGCAGCCCGATTTGGCAAATATTTCCTTGTTCTCTTTTGACCTTGGAGAAAGGATCAGGCACCATAAACAGTTGTAATGGAAATCTGGGGAAATATTTCACACATAATTATATCATCCAGCGCTGTCTGCATACAGTGCCCAATGGCAGGGCAATTCAATTAGACAGCTGGGTGCAGTGGAGAAAACCCTGGAGAGAAAGTTAGCAACCCTGCGTTTTCACTTGGCCATCAGCTAGTCATGGGGTCTTAGCTAAACCACTTAACCCATCTGGACCTCAGTTCCCTTGTCTACAAAATACCTACTCGGCTTCAAGCAGAGGACATTAAAAGTCCAAAGGGACACAATCTGCGTGAAGACTCTTGAACTTTGAACTTCATATTAGTCTTATCTTTATCATCGGCCAGTTTAGAAAATGTGGCATTAGCGCAAAGGTTAATCAAAACAGAATTATGGCATTTCGTTTCCTAGTCGCAGGACTAGTTTCTTTATACCGAGGAGGATGCTGCTTGATTGGCACTGGAAACCACCTCTCCTGCTCCTGTGCTGAGGATTCTGGGACCGCCCAGGACCGTGCTAGGAATCATGCTGATAATCAGAGCGCCATCCGGAGTGATGGGGAGGGGCCTGCTTATTGGGGGTGGGTTAGGGTGAGAGGAGAACTTAAGTCTTCAGTTAACTCAGGGGAAAGGAAGACTACATCCCCGGGGAAATTTAAACCTGAGGTTCAAGTATTAAATTGCTGCCATCACTCAAACACCTTATTGTAAGGAGACTTTTACTCCTGAAATCCATCATGGGGTGGTGATTTCAACAAAACATTCTTGTATGAAGCTAGCCTGGAGGTTGCTGAGAGAACAGTTACTAAGTGGTCTCATTTAGGGTATTTTGTTTGCGGTTTGGTTTCTCGGCCTTCAGGGATCCACACTTGGCTGCTTTTCTTCCTTTTCTTTGCCTACACTGTGGGCTACACTTTGGCCCATGTTTCCCAAACTTCAGCCATTTCACAACACCGTCCCCGTTTCTGCCTCTTGTACTATTTACTTATTTTTTTCAAAGATTATTTTATTTCTAAACGTTATAAAGTTCATTTTTAAACTTTAAATTACAGTGGAAACTTTATACCACTATAAAACCAGGGTTTTGAGTTTTAGTCATGTTTTTTGGAAGCATATGAAAATAGAAATATAAATCTGGGCATTATATAACTTAATGCCCCTCCCGCTCCCCAAAGAATCAGTGGGATCTGGACTGCTCTGGGAAATGCCGATGTTTGTAATTTTATAGGGCCCTTTATATTAATGTCCTCCTCTTTATTATTGATTTCAGAGAGGAAGGGAGAGGGGGAGAGAGATAGAAACATCAATGATAGAGAGAATCATTGATTGGCTGCCTCCTGCACGCCCCACACTGGGGATCGAGCCTGCAACCCTGACCGGGAATTGAACTGTGACCTCCCCATTCATAGGTCTACCCTCAACCACTGAGCCACGCCAGCTAGGCCCCCCCCCTTTTTTTTTTAATGAGACAAGAAAACTGATTACAGTCTCTATTCCTATTAATAGAAACACTGGAGGAAACATTTCCATGTTTCATTAACCAAAGAGGGAGGAGGATGTCTCTTCTTCCTTTGTGGGCAGTGGGAGAGATAGAAACATCAATGATAGAGAGAATCATTGATTGGCTGCCTCCTGCACGCCCCACACTGGGGATCGAGCCTGCAACCCTGACCGGGAATTGAACTGTGACCTCCCCATTCATAGGTCTACCCTCAACCACTGAGCCACGCCAGCTAGGCCCCCCCCCTTTTTTTTTTAATGAGACAAGAAAACTGATTACAGTCTCTATTCCTATTAATAGAAACACTGGAGGAAACATTTCCATGTTTCATTAACCAAAGAGGGAGGAGGATGTCTCTTCTTCCTTTGTGGGCAGTGGGTGCCTTGTCTGAGTTGAAGGAGAGTAGCTGTGGCATTCCTTTCATGATGCCTGGAGGTGATTCAGAGGTGTTGCTTATATCCCCACAGGAAAAACGTGTCAACATGGTTCATATTGAGTCCAGGAAATCCCGGCGGAGAAGTTCCGAGGTGGAGATCTTTGTGGACTTCGAGTGTGGCAAAACAGAATTCAATGAGCTCATTCAGTCGCTGAAATTTCAGACTACAATCCTGACGCTGAATCCGCCCGAGAACATTTGGACAGAGGAAGAAGGCAAGGCCAGTTTTTGCTTGTCGGGTGATTTTGCAATCTGACAAACGTTGCCAAGGGGAACACACAATCTGTGAGCTAACATGTTTGATCCTGCACTGTGTTTTCAACAGAGCTAGAGGATGTGCCCTGGTTCCCCCGGAAGATCTCTGAATTAGACAAATGCTCGCACAGAGTGCTCATGTATGGTTCTGAGCTCGATGCTGATCACCCAGTAAGTGTCCCGTAAAATCCATTCCACACCCGCTCTCCCAGTGCCCTCCATGTGCCAGGCACTGTGCCATGTTCTGTGCTGTCAATGCTGTACTGTAGAGCAATTTATTATTTATTCCCCATAACTGCGAGCAGACTTTTAGATGAGAAAGCTCCCCTGTAAATATGCGTTGGCTGGAAGCAGGTTAGAAAGATGGCATTTCCACAAAGCATTCATTTTTTAGAGGGTTGGACAGAGGCGGAGATTCTGAAGCTGGGAGATGATTTCTGTAGAATGAGACAGCCTGAAATATACGTGCAGATGGTGACCCTTGGAAGAATGACGAACTGAAATTGATCACTCTTTGGGGAAACTAGGGAGGACTTGGCATTATGGGGCTCAGTGAGAGCATAAAATTCTCCTTGCTATTTTCCTTGACGGGAGGTAGTTAGGAGTAGAGTAATGGAGTGGACTTCAGTCTCAATGGAAAGGCAGAGGGTATTAGAATAAGGCTGTGATGGAAGACGCATCTCTTCCCGCATCCGCCCGGAATCTATTTACCACCATCTCTCCCCTATGCCAATAAAAATGACCACCTGGAAAGAAATATGATACGTAGGTAAGCATTTCCCATGATTCCCTCCCCCCGCACCTTTACATTCGTTTTTATTTAACACAAGAGACCGGGAACTTCTTTATGGTCAGAATGAAGTACAGTTAATAGTCTGGGAGAAATAAGCTATGTCCTCATTCGTTACAAGCATGTTTTCCCCCGGTGCCCCTTGTCTATAAACAGGCAGATAAAAGGGCGAAACCCACGCAGATCAGTCATGCTTACAAGAGTGTTTGTGGTCTGAGGGCAATGGCTTATAGGTATTCATTTTATTTAAGCGGAGGAAGTCTGGAAATCTGATAGTGGGACGACAGGCAGTGGTACTCAAGTGTGGTCCCGGGACCAGCTGCATCAGGAGCTGGTGGTAACAAGCCCACACTCGAGTCTGAGAGCTCTGCTTTGAAGAAAACGATGACAACTTCAACAAGAGGAACATTTTCAATCAAACCATTTGGCATAATAGACCCACTCAAACTAATTCATAACATATCGTTCAGACAAATGGTCAAACAGATCTAATTCAATTGCATTATTTGCATTTTTTTTTCCCAAAAAGTTGAATTCACTCAGACACAGAGTGTCATATCTGCCATCATAGCCTAAAGTTTCAGGATAATTCACAGGGAAGACTCCTGAACATTAAATAAACACTCAAAAGCGCCTTCAGCCATCATCTATTTGTCATCTTCCCCTTCCCCACCTCCAGGGGAGTCAGAATTAGCACAGAGGTTTGATTTAAGAGCTTAGCAGTGAGATCATTGCCTAGACACCAGCTGTTCACTTGCAGGATGACCTTGGGCAAGTCTCTCTACCCCCGTGTCTCAAATTCCTTATGCAAAAGTGGAAATAAAATTCTTATTGACCTCAAAGGGGCATTTGAAAAGCATAGTTAATAAAACAAGTGGAAAGCATTTTGGCGAGTAAATACCCAATTCCAGGAATCGAAGTGCTGTATTAAATCATCCAGATCAACGCCTGGGCAGTAAAGGATTTCTTGGTAACCTCTCTCCAAATGCTCCCCTCAGTCTAGTTTGAAAATTACTTACCTGGAGAAAGGGGGTCAGCCCTTTTGATGGAACAACCACAGGAACCACTGACCTTGCTGTGAAAAAATGTATTCAATACTCAGTGTACATTGTCCTGTGCTTAATTTTGTTCCATTATCCCTAATTACACCCACCTTATGATGCCTTTTCTTATTTTCTTTACAGCCACTTTAAATAATTGCAAGTAGTTAGCAACCTCCTACCTCACTCATTTTTTTTAACCACACATCTTTCTTTTATAAGCACACCAAATGTTCATTGTGCACACTTTGATATTGGTAAGTTGGTGTTTTTTATGTTATTATTTGATGAGGACAGAAATGTTGTCCAAGGCCCTTTTGTGCTTCAGAAGAACCCTGGTCCTGAGAGGGGTTATTGCACGAAGATGGGCCCCCTCGTGCTGGGAGGGCTCAGAAGGGGCCGGGGGTGTAAGAGTCAGCCACGGAGGCGCCCTGGAAAGGGTTAACTATCTCAGCCAGGGCCTCCCAAACGCTAATGGACAAACAAGTCACCCGGAATATCTTCTCAAAATGCAGATGAGTTCCCGAGATTCTAGAGAGCTTCCTAGCATTTCCAGCGAGCTCCCATTCGAGGCTTATGCCGCAGGTTTGGGACCATACTCTGGGTAGCAAGGATCTAGACTGGTTCAAGGTCCACCCATAAGGTGCTTGTTCATGAGCTCTAACGTTTGAGAACGAATGTCCTAGCTCAGTGCTTCTCAGCCTAGCTTTCCATTCAAATCATCTGTGGGGAATTAAAAAACAGACTGAAGCCTGGGCCTCATTTCAGGGTGCTTAAATCAGAACGCCTGGGAATGCGCCTGGGGTTTGAGTCGTATTTAAAGCTCCCCGGTGCGTCTGAAATCCCACCAGGGTTGACTTACGTGGGATCGCTCCTTGAGTGCCAGCATACAGTTAGCTGAGCACTTCGGGCTACCAGCCTGGCTTCAGTTTCCCTTGGCTGAAACTGAGAGAGGAAGGGTGGGTTATCCAGCAGCTACTTTCTGGGTGCTAGGGTTGCCAGATTTAGCAAATAAGTATATATAGGATGCTCATTTACATTTTCATTTCAAGTAAACAACACATAATTGTTTCTTAGAAGAATGCCCCAAATATTGCACGTGTCCCATATCTTTATTTTATCTGGTACCCTTATCCCTGGCCTCAGTCCCGAGTGATGGAATGCGGTGTCTCTGATCCCCAGGGTAGCCAGCATCCAGTTTACTTTGCGGGCCCAGGATTCAGTCCTGGAAGCTGTGGATTGCCCACACGTTCATGTAATCGCCGCCACCCTGGGCTAATGAGGCGTGATGAGTGAATCACTCTCCGCATGCCTGGAAAAGGTGCAGGTGTTCGCTGAGGAGAGACAATCGAGAGTCTTCAGGAAGCCCAGCAGATTATGATGCTGTTACCATGGTGTCCAGTTTGGCAGGAACTGGGGAACAGATGCTGTGCTTTTCACACGGCTCTTTTCCTTTTGTCCTGGCCTGCTTTCTTTTTGAGTAATACAGGTGCTTGGATCTCTTCAGTTTCGCCATCCCAGGTTGCCTGGCGTTCTCAGTGAGAGCTGAAACTCACACTCTCTATCTAGCAGGATCACATATCCCCTCTGCAGCAGGAGTTTTCTTTTGAGGTCCCAGGCCCATTTGTGAATGTGGTAGCTCTGGTCACGAAATTTTGTATGCACTCATTTTAAGGCTTCCCACGCCTGCCTATGGGCCCCAGTTTAAAAACTCCCAATTCATAGCAAAAGGAAAAAAGTGCTGGCTTCCAGGGCGGGAAGCTTCGTGGCTGCAGGGGTCTGGGTGACCTCAGGGCCCTCATCTCCCTCCCCATCAGTAACTCTCTTGTGCTTCCCGAGAGAAGGGCTGTTGGTGATTGAAGCTCTTCACTTCTGTCCAGCAGAGTCCTGGGAAGGCTTCTGGCTTGAAGGCCAGTTCTTCATCTGGGAGAGAGAATGCAACGGTTTTCTATGTGTTTGAGTTACTGTTGAACAGCCCACCTTGCAGAAGTTGCAGCATGGGGCGGCTGGGCCTGTGTGGGCCTGTGTGGGCCGTGTGGGCCTGTGTGGGCCTGTGTGGGCCTGTGTGGGCCTGTGTGGGCCGTGGCCTGTGTGGACCTGTGTGGGCCGTGTGGGCCTCTATGGGCCTGTGTGGGCCATGTGGGCTGTGTGGGCCTGTGTGGGCCGTGTGGGCCTGTGTGAGCCTGTGTGGGCCGTGTGGGCCTCTATGGGCCTGTGTGGGCCGTGTGTGCCTCTATGGGCCTGTGTGGGCCATGTGGCAGCTCCCCTCTCAGACCCGTGATCTCAGTGGCCTGTCCTCTTGCCTGGCCTCCCTTCTCAGAGTGGCCACTGCTTCCTGCTTATCTTTTGGGGCTGCATCAATAGAAAGTTAAATTGAAATAATTCCTTCTGGGCTCCCAGCACTTGGAAGAAACACCCTCTGAAGGGAAAGAAAATGGAAAGCCTATTGACAAGAGGGGAGATTTTCGAGTAAAACAAGAAGTCCTCTCAGAAGGATTCCACTTGACTGAAGAATGACAGACAGGATGTTTAATTTCCCAGGTGTTATGACAATGAATAAAAGTCTTGAATTTGCTAAAAACTCATCAGACGCATGGGAATTCAGGGTAGAATGGAGCAGACTCGGTGTCCTGTGCATGAATCTCTTAAAATTGGTTTTGCATCGTGTGGCTGTACTCATAAGATACAGCAAAACCTCTTTAATTCATACTAATTTGGGGATTTGAATGAATGAGTTTTAAATAAATGAACACTTATTGATCATTTACACAAAGAAATTAAATTTAGGTTAACTTACTGAATAATCAGGTTAAGGGGACCTGTTTTAATGGAAAGGATAATATTAATTTATGATGAAGATCAATTACATGCAAATGAAAACCAAAAGATATAGTCCACAGCATCAATTTGCTTAACTAAGCCATTCTGCCCACTTGGTGGAAAGGTAAACTTTAGCCTGAATTCCCACACATCCCAAATTAGTACAGTCCCGGTTTAATGAGGTTTTACTGTGTGAGCGCAGTTTGCTTCTGCCTGTGTCATAAAGATGTCATACAAGGATACACATTTACATTTGAATTGAGTAGTCAGTCAACACCACAGCAATTTTCTTTGAGGCCTTCTGCAGCTCACTTTTTGGTTCTTGGTTAAATAACGTCATCTCTTTTTCTGTTTAAGGGATTTAAGGACAATGTCTATCGACAGAGAAGAAAGTATTTTGTGGATGTGGCCATGAGTTATAAATAGTAAGTACCTGTGTAACTGTTTTCGGCAACTTGTCACTGGCTGGTTAGAAAAGCACATGCTGTGTTAAACAGACCCACCTTCTCTTCGCTTTGACTTTTCCGAAGGCAGATAGGAACCATTTTTAAACACCCTCCAACTCTGTGGGCATTAAATACCAACACTGATGTTTGACATCTGTGCACAACTGTGAAAGAATGAGACCTTTGGGCCTCATGCCAAGTGCTACATTTTCACCATTGTGTTCACAGCTCCACAAAGGAGCCACTTTTGTCCACTCTGCAGGGCCCAGAAACTGTGTTTTCATTTTGCTTTTGATTTGAGTTTTCCGTAACCTCCCTCAATGTCTAGCGTCCCTAATGAAAGTAGGGAATTCAGCAAGAATGGCCAAAGGGCTCATGTGAGCAGCCGAAATGAAAAGAGATGTGTTTGCTTTGTGTGGAAAGGGAAACTTCCTGGAAATTGGAGAGTTTCAGACCCAATCCTGGTTGAGGGTGGGGAGGAAATGAAAGAACCTAAGGATTGGGGTGAGGACCGTGCATTGTGCATGGTATTAGATGGCCTTGACAGGGTACTGCGACAGGCGATGATGTAGTGTGTTGATTGCAGGCCGTGTCTAGAAAAATGGAGTATACAGTAGGCTTCTATGTATTCTGGTCACACCAATAAAACTTGTAGCCCATCATGGTGCTGCCTTTACTTTGTCTGGTATGTGATCAGCTACATAAATCTGTCATCAGGACAAAATATAAATCCTACCTGGCAGGAAAGATTCTTTCTTATTCTAGTTGAGACTAGGTGAGAAACTCAATTGTCCTGGGGCAAGTTTGTCCTTGGTGAGAATTTAGGACATTACATGTGTTATACAAGGTATCAGTGTTTCCTTCCCTCCCCCCCTCCCTCCTTCCTGCCCTCCTTCCTTTCTTTCTTTTTAAGGAATATGACACACAGGCGCTTAAGGCAAAAATGGGAGGATTTCATGCCACACCTCTGTTCGGGCCAGTCATTTGCTCATTTCTAACTTCCCCGGATGCTCCGGTGCTCTTCCTTTCCTCCTACCAAACCGCATGCATCCTTCATTCTTCCTCTAGTATGTTTTTAATCCTGAAAACCAGGACTACTTGGCACATGCTTTTCCACATGTGTCTTCTCCATTCTCATCTCTTCTGTTCCACGCAGCTCCTTGACCCTTTTTTAACTACTGTGACCTTCTACCCCCTCGCAATGTCAGTGTGCTGATGGCTTGTCCAGGCCCAAGCCCAACCTCCTGCCCCCTTAAGCCCTCAGCACTGTCTCTCTCTAACCTTGTCTTCCAGTGTTTCCCCGTCAGGTTGCCAAGACAGCACTCTGATGGCCGTGCTCACTTGTTCACATCAGGCCCTGATCAGTGGTCCTGAGTGTTAAGATGAGCTCCCCGCCCAGCAGCATGGCTCAGTGGTTGAGCAGTGACCTGCGAACCAGGAGGTCACCAGGTTCGATTACCAGTCAGGGCACATGTCCAGATTTCCGGCTCGATCCCCAGTGTGGGATGTGCAGGAGGCAGTCGATCAATGATTCTCCTCATCATTGATGTTTCTATCTCTCCCTCCCCCTTCCTCTCTGAAATCAATACAAAAATATTTAAAAAAAATAAAAAGACGAACTCCCCTAGGTTCACAGACCCTGCCTGTGGAACCAGGCCATGCCTGCAGAGGTGGGTCCTTAGAAAGGGGTGGGCAGGGCATGCCTTTGGGACCTGAGGGGACACAGTCAAAGCTCAGGGCTTGGCAGAGCCTTTTCCTTTAGATAAAAGATAGATGCAAATGTATTTCATATGCAGTATATTATATATATGGTGGTATATAAAGGATTTTGTTAGCATAGTGATCAAGGAGTTAGCTCAAATGTCATTTATTTCTTCTTGACAGAGCCCACGCTGGACAAAGACAAGCTGCTATTGTGATGACACTAATAGAATTGATATATATGAGTCAACCCGTTTTAAGAAGCATTGTTATGGGGAGTCCTTTGGCGTTAAAGGAAACATGTTTGTATAGAGAGGAGGGGAAACGGGCACATAGTAGAAATGATGGAGGACGAGGCTCTCAAAGTATTCACAAGTTTGCCTTTGCCATTTTCCCTTAGCGCAAGAGGGACACGGAGATGTGGTGTCTATTGGAAACACAAGTCAAAATTGGAGGCTGGAAATGGTGGAGATTTTATACAAAGGTGGGCTGGCTGGGGCCGGAGGGAGCTGCAGTATTCCAGGGTCCAGCCCCAGCTTACAAAGTGGGGCTGTATTCAGGGTCCAGGGCCTGATTCTCCGGAACCGAAGGTTCAGGAGGCCGAGGTAGGCAGGACACCGGTGAGTCATCATGTCACAGGGAGAAACTACTCCCATGGGACTCACGCCCGCTCCCTGTTGTCATGACACCAGAGAGGCCAGATGATAACCTGAAGGCTATTTTGGAGACACAGTCAAAGCAGAGGATATTTAAGAGAGTTTGGGATCCAAGACCATTGCAACCCTCTCCCCTGGACAGTGCTGACTCAGGCTGAGTGCCCAGAATAACATGATGGGAAACTGGGCCATTGGAGCCAGACTATCTGGGGCTGGAGTCCTGACTCCACGGCTTCCTCCTGGGGTGATCAACATCACCTCGCCCCAGTTTCTTCATCGGGGAAGAGTGTCTAACAATAGAACCCATCTCGCGGGGCTGGTGTAGGGACTATGAAAGGGAACCCATGGCTGTGCTTTGCACAGTGCCTAGCGCGTGATTTGTGATCATAACTGTCAGTTATTATTACATCCTCCCCTTTCCCTTGTCCACAGACTGTCTTCAGTTTCCAGGTGACCTATTGTTTAATTCTTTAGCTGTGTTAACACCATTGTTCTTGCTGCCACCTTAACAAATACTGTAGTTCAAGTGTCCCTGGAAGTAATCCTGGGAATAAAACTCCTTCGGTTTCCCACTTAAAGACTGTTGTGTCTACCGATGCGTTTTGTGCTGACCGACATCCTTCTTTGTGGAGAGATTTCATAGCGAGCAGTTACGTTCCCGTGTGTGTGTGTGTGGGAAGCTGCAAATACTGATAACAGATCGCCGGTTGCCTCGGGTGCTTCTTGTCGTGGACAGAGTGGGGAAGGTGCCCAGGGAGTGCTTCAGTCAGGGACTTGTGGGACGGAGAGAGAAAGCGGTCACTGCTTAGTGTCCGTCATGCCATCACTGCTGTGGCTTCTCCGGGTATGAGTTTGAGGATGGATACGGGCCAGCCATTTCTGTGTATGTAAATACATGTGTGTTTGTGTGCAAATACCTGTGTGTTTGCAAGCTGAGGGCAGGGCTCAGGCCTGTATTCAGGTGCTGGTCGGGGTGGGGCACAGGTACTAGCAAGTCCTAGTGGGGCCTGGGTCATCATCTCCAGCTTGCCACGCGGTAAGTGAGGTTTTTATTTTATTTTTTATTTTATTGATTTTTTACAGAGAGGAAGGGAGAGGGATAGAGAGCCAGAAACATCGATGAGAGAGAAACATCAACCAGCTGCCTCCTGCACACCCCCCACTGGGGATATGCCCGCAACCAAGGCACATGCCCTTGACCGGAATCGAACCCGGGACCCTCCAGTCCCCAGGCCGACACTCTATCCACTGAGCCAAACCTGTCAGGGCGAGGGTTTTTTTTTTTTTTTGAGATTTGCTTTTATTTGACAAAAAATAAAGCTACAGTTTCTGGTTGAAATAGATCTTTTTTTCCAGTGCTAATGGCTTTCTGAGTGAGCAAAGGAAAAAGATGTCGATACAATAATTACTTAAAATAAGCGCGTTTGAGTGGCTTCTGGCCGAGTGCTGGGATCTGATTTCCAAGCCAAAGCTTGAACCACAGGTCTGAGAAGCAGATCATTTGAAACTGGGTGGTGCTGGAAACCCCCAGCGCATGGGGTCCCTGCAAACATAGTTTGGTGATAAAATTAGAGACCAGTCTGACATGGGGAGACCAATTCAACTTCCTGTTGATAGTTCGTTAAGGCTTTCAGGACACGGAGAAGAAGTCAAATATATGGTCGGAAATATAGACAAAGACGGAGCAGAGATGATTTGGGGGGTGCCGTAGGGATTGGCGGGATGTCGTCTGAGGGGTGCACAGGGGAGGGAAGGAAAAGATATGAAGTACCGAATCATATCTATTGAAACATGGCCAGGAAGCCCTCTGGGGCATTTGTGTTGAATACTATATTTTCTGTGATAGTCTTGAAAGGATAAAGCCGGGGGGAAGAATCAGCACATGCAGAGGAAAGTGAAACAATTCCACTCTATGATGAGAAAACAGCAGGCTCGTGTCCGTATAACCATGAGCCTGAGAGAGGAGAGGGCCGGGGACCGTGCCAGCACACTGAGAACTATCCATAGGTGCCACTCAGGTGCGTCCCTGATTGACAGCGCTGCCGAGAAACACGATTGATTACCCAGAGGCCCGCTGCTGCCTGCAGACATGCCTGAGCGCTGTGGCCACGCGTGTCAGGAAGACCTAGCTGCCTCCCCAATAACGGCGGAGGAAGCATTCATTAGTGCAAATATCAGTCTCCCTAGAAGCCCTGAGAATGCAGGCCCTGGAATGACAGGGCAGTGTTTTAATATCATGTGTAATGGATGCGGGTCGCAGCCTGTCCTCCCCAACCCAAAGGAAAGAAATGCGAGTGTAAACAAGCACAGAGGACCCCGGGAGGAGATATGTGAAGCGCATACAGACTTGCAGTCACTGGCAATGGAAGTGCGTGGGGGGCAGATGGCATGTGGAGGAGGGGAAATGATGACTGTGATGTTGGAGCTATAGGTTTGTGTGATACTCTCCAGGTTTCTGTCATTGGCACCTTCATATTTTAAGCTTGACATTAGCTTTCCTGCATTTCTGTGGGTTTCACAATTGCTATATTGTTGGAGGAAAAATGAGTAATACAGGTGTTTTTTTTTTTTCTGGTTGACTAGAAATAAACAGATTTTTCTTTGGGGGCTATTATAATGATT